TTCAACTCCAAATCAAGTCAAAGCCAAATCAGCATCTTAGTTTTCAATGGCCAGAGACAGTAAATTCTCCATTGTGCTTAAGCCAGTTCAAGTCTGGATTTTTGTCACTGGAAAAATCTGTGACTGATACTAGAGGCAACCTGAGATACTTGAGAGACTGATATTGAATCAGTACTCATCATAAGAGATAAAATCCTGATTATTCCAGAGCTGCTACAGAATTTATGATTGATTGCTTTGTCTCAGACACTACGTCCTATATATCTGCCAAAGGAAATCCTCTATTGGCTGCCTCCAACAGAGAAATGGTAAAGAAAGAAAAAAAATTAATTTAAGTAAAAACAATTCACATAAATTCATAAGGTACTTCCCTACAGACTAAACTCCCATGATCATTTTGCAGATAAATTCTGATAACAACAATATACTCAATAATGAAGATAACAAATAAAGTCTTCTAATTATCAATAATATTCCAGGGGGTGTCAGAGCCCAAGTATTTTCAGTAAGATGCCTCATCTATGAAAAGTAAAACCTTCCCCTGTTCCTGCCTTGAGTAAACCCTCTTCCTTATGAGTCTTCAGATTTCTGAGGGTATCCAGTGATACCACTCTGTAACCTAAAAAGGATTTCCTTGGTGGCAGTCCAGATACTAACTGCTTAGAATAGTAAGTGAGTTATAATTTGTACCAGAGATGTTGCTGCAATTATAATACAATGAAAAAGCCAGAGCTTTTAATTGTTTCCACTTTAATATAGACTTTGGGCTTGTGGACTAGAAGCTAAGAAACTCAGCCAGCAGCAGTCTCAAAATCTGATATCCTTGGCTCATTGTCATCCTCATTTTTGCCCTGACGGCCAACAGGTAAATTGTCTCCAGATGCAGAGCAGTCTCTGGCAGATTCCAGCTGGGTTCTGTGTGAAGCAGCATCAAACTGTCCTTTTCTCCTGCATGTTGTATGTAACAGCCACTCCAGGGAGGGAGAGACCAATGCTGGCCAGGGGCAGGAGTTTAAATGATGCCGATGGGGTCCACCCTGCAAACCTAGCCATCCTCAGGAATGTATCTTCCCATCACACCGTGTGGGAGGGTGCTTGGTCATGGCATGATAGAAAATTCTTTCTTCCATTCGCCTGCCTGCCTTCCTGCCTGCCTGCCTGCCTGCCTTCCTTCCTTCCTTGCTTCCTTCCTTCCTTCCTTCCTTCCTCCCTTCCTCCCTTCCTATCCTTCCCATCTCTGAAGGGTTTGGAAAAGTTCCTAAAGGAGTTCTGCCTGATAATTAGACTTCTCAGACTGCCATTAATAACTTCCACCATTGATTTTTTTTTTCTAGTATCAGTTAGGGTTTTTCAGTTGTAACCAACAGACTCTGATTCTTGATAACAAGTAAAACAGATTTTACTGTAAGGATATGAGATGGCTCACAGAATTGAAGGAAAAACTAAAGAATCAAGCACGGAAAAATCTGAGAACAAGAACGAGTCTGGGATCTAGGTAGTAACTATGAACATTCTTTTCAGGCCTCTGCAACAACCATTTTCCTCCGCTGCAATAACTGGGCTAAAGAGTCAGATTCCTGGATAAGAGAATTCCATGGGCCTAGCATGGATCAACTGCCTAGGGCTCACATCTCAGGGTCCCTTGATTGACAGCTCCACCAAGACTGCTCTAAGGCCCAAAGGGTGATCAGGAAAACAAAATGGCATCTGGGTGAACAAAAAACCCCCAGTAGATGTCATATATAATGCCTTTGATCATGCTGCCTCCTCTCCCTGAATGCCCTTCCCCACTGCAGACTAATCTAGCTCAGATATCACCTCCACCAGGAAGTCTGCAATACACAAACACATGCCCTCAACCAGCTGCTGAGTTAGACATCCCAGTCTCCTGGGCTCCCTTCTCTTACTGCTCTTAAAACACTGAAGTATAATTCTTCGAATATCTGGCTTCCTTGAGAAAAGAAACAATTTATTATTCAATCTTCTATCCTTAGTACCTAGCACATAGTGGGCACTCAACAGATGTGTCTTGGATGATTAGTTGAAAGGAAAAATGGGCCAGTGATGAATCTTATACTTCATAAAGTTTGGACTACTTTGACTTTAAGTTATAGCTGTATCTGTATATAGACAGAAGGATTCAACTATAATGTATCAATCCAATAACTATCATCTTCAAAGCAGTATCAATACAAATTTTTTAAAGGATTTGTTGCAGCTTTTGGACCTTAGAATATAAATGCCTGTTTATTTTGTACTCAATATCTAGAAAGCAAATATTAAGTAAACACACCAGGTAAAATAAATTAAATCAGAACAATTCACCTCAAATAGATGCTGACACCTAAGTTTGCCTTCCAAGTGAAGGTCTAATTCATTGCACAGGAATCACACCTTCCCATTCAAAGTTATCACAAAATGCCCACAAATTTATAAAAGAATTGGCCAAGTGATCTTCATGTGGGTGCTTCTTGGTTAGGAGGAGGTGGGTCTGCAAGACCTGGTTGGCTCCCATGAGCTGTGGACTTAAAGCATGTTGAAAAACTGGTCAATGAGTTGGATCCCCCTCCAGCCTCTCTCTGGCTGTCCTGCACAGGAAAAGCATGTTTTCAACTGTCTTCTCAAAGACTGGGTGAATGCCTACCCCAATACGGCTGGGAAACCCTGGGTGTGGCCTTAGTCTCCTAGGTGAAGTCTGCTTTTCCTTAAGAGTGTACCTTTGTGCAAAGAGAAAGAGGCTCTGCCTATTACATGGTCAGATAAGAAAGACTCTTCCTCAGGGACCTGAATTTGCAAAAGGTGCTTATTCTGGTTGGACATAGCCATGCAAGGGTGCAGTCTTGTATTAGGGGCATCGCTTGAGGAGCAGAGCATGGACTGTGTTGCAGACCCCACTTGGCCAGCACCTTTGTATGGTGAAGGGACTGCACACTTACACATGGCATCCCTGTCCTAGATGAGACCTTTCCCCAAAGAAGAGAACATGAGGTAGTATTACGAATCCAGGAGGTACTATAGGGAATAAATAGACTCCCATCACACACTGTCTTATCAGAGAGATAACTGGCAAAACCATAGGAAGGCCAGTCTCAGCATCAAGAAAAGGAATCATTTTTTAATTTTAAAATGCCAAACATATGGAAAAGTACAAACATCTTTCAACAACCAAGATTTAATAATAGCATCTTATCATATTTCATTCAAATCTTATTGGAGCCTTCCCCCACCAAACCACTACTATCCCCTTCTCTTTCTCCCATCTCCAAACTGTCTTCCAGTTGATATTTGCTCTGTCCATGCTCATTTCTGATACTTTCTATGTATTTTTACACAAACAACATATATGTGTTTTTAAAAAAACATGTGAGTTAGGGGTGCCTGGGTGGCTCCAACTCTTGATTTTGGCTCAGGTCATGATCTCAGTGGTTCATGAGTTCAAGCCCTGCCTTGGGCTCTGTGCTGACAGTGCAGAGTCTGCTTGGGATTCTCTCTCCTTCTCTGCCCCTCCACTGCTTGCTCTCTCTCTCTCTCAAAATACATAAACTTTAAAAGTAAATAAATAAAAATATGATTTAGATGTACATATATAATAAACACATATAAGCTACATATATTTTATGTAAACATATAAGAAATCCAGTATAATGTAACATATAATAAATATATAATGTGAATGATATAAAGTTTGGTGTATTTGTATATTTTTATCTGAAAGGTATCATATAATTCAGATCCTTCTACAGTTTGCTATATGTATGTCAATGTTCTCTTTCAGAGATTGATTGATCCATATTGGTACATGTAGCTGCAACTCCTTCATTTTAATTTTATACAAGATTGCATTATATGACTAACTCACAACTTATCTATCCTGTTATGGATGGGCCTTAATTTGTCTCAGCTTTTTGACTTTACAATGATGCAAAGATCATTCTTGCAGACATGTGCAAGAGATTTTCTAGGATATATACTTACGAGTAGAATTTCTGGGTCTTAGGTTATGCACTTCTAATGTGCTCTCCAGGGTAGTCTTGCTGACTCGCACTCTAACCAGCAATATGTGAGATGTGTCTCCCCACAACCTCATCAAAACTGGTTTTATCAGATATTATCATTTTGGCCAGTCTCAGGGGTGTAAAATAGTATCATACTATGGTTTTAATTTGAATTTTCCTTGTTACTAATGACATTAAGTTTCTTTTTCTGTGAGGGTCCAGTTCATATTATTTATCCATTTTTCTTGGATTATTTTTTTCTTATTGATTCATAGGAATCTTTTAAAATAAATTTTTATGGGGTACCTGGGTGGCTCAGTTGGTTAAGAGTCCAACTTTGGCTCAGGTCATGAGTCCATGAGTTTGATCCCCATGTCGGGCACTGTGCTGACAACTCAGAGCCTAGAGCCTGCTTTGGAATCTGTGTCTCCCACTCTCTCTGCCCCTCCCATGCTCATGTTCTATCTCTGTCTCTCAAAAAATAAGTAAATGTTAAAAAAAATTTTAATAAAATAAATTTTTATTAAGAATTCTTGGTTGGTTATAGGCATTATAATATCTTTCCTAAGTTTGAAACTTATGCTTTAACTTTGTTTATTGTGTTTTTATTGGTATATAATTGTAATATTTTAATACAATCATATTTTAAAACTTTTCCTTTTGGTGTATGCCTTTTGAGACATAAGCCCCTATGTTTAAGTCTCCTATGTTTTCTCCTCAAAGTTATAAAATTTCCTTTTCATACATATATCTTAATTCCATGTGGATTTTACTTGTATCTAAAGTGTGAGGTAGGGATTTCCTTTTTCCACCAATTATTCCAACACTTGAAGAGTAATTATTCCCTTTTCTGTAGGTTTGTATTGCCATCTCTATTGTGAACCAAGTTCCCATGTGTTGAGTCTATTGTTGAGACCATTCCATTTTTGTACAGGAAGAGACTAGGTCTCTTGTACAGATACCAAACCCCCTCATTACTTTCAGAAAAGGCAGTTTTACTGATACCTGAAATAATGCCATTCTTTGTGTGAGACGAGAACACCTCCAGGAAGGGCAATGCTGTAAATCAGCGACAATGTGACATACATATCTTGCTTGGATTCCTTCTGATCTGCCAATATACTGAGAGAAGTGTTGACAGAAAAATCAGAGAAAGATCCAGGGTACTCAGCAAGGGAAAAGAAAGATAGATTTGGTTAGAGAGGCTCTTGGACAGGAAGGGGAAAAAATGATATCTCTAATTACTCAAGTTTTTTTTCTGGTCTTGGTCTCGAACATAAATATATTTGTCCAGAAATATGGTATTTTGATATATAAATGTGCCTCCACAGCAGTGTCTACCAATTCTTATCATAAAATCAGAATCAGAATCATAGCTTACATTAATGGGCTAAACACTGGATAGGCATTATTTTATTAAATCCCATTACATGGGTAATTTCCTGGAAATATACATGAGAAAACTGAAATGCAGAGAAAGGAAGTGACTTGTATAAAATCACACAGCCTAGTGAGTGGCAAAACTCAGCTTATATTCCTTGCTACTAGATTACGCTGCCTTCCATGTTGTAAAATGTTCCACACTAGAATGGGATTATCTACTTTTGAGGGGAGGGAGTTAATCTTACTGTAGCATTATATCCTCAACCCGAGCACTGTGTTAGTCATACAATAGCCTCTCAATCAATATTCGTAGACAAGAATGAATAGATGCATGTTGGCTGTGGGGTCTGTGGTTTGTGAGTCATGAAAGGCCTAAGTGGTTTACTTAGGCTGAGAGAGAAGAATCTTCACCTTACTTCCTCTGAAAGCCACGCCAAACCTCTTTTCTACTTACCCTCAAATGATGGGCGGAGCTACAAACACACAGCAATGTACTTCTTTCTACATAGATCCTGGAAGCCTACAAACACAGTTGGGGATGGGGACACACAAAAGTATAAGCCACCCTTCCAGCTTTGATATTTGCTTCCAACCTCTGGAAATCTTTCCATTTCCCAAACACATCAGCATCGGTGGCTTTGTTTCTCATCAGAGGCAATACAACTTTGTCTCCTCACAAGGCTGTGTGCTAAATCCAAAAAGTAGCTTGCAGCTCAACCCCACGAAGGCTGTTGCTGCAGTGGGGATTCCCAGCCAGTGCAGAGGCCCCTGCTGCTGAGTGGAGTTCCCCAACATGAGATGTAAGTGGGCCACTGAACTCATTGGTCTCTAGTGTCTTGGGGATCATCAGCACAATGACATCTCCCCTGAATAGTTGGTTTTGGGGACAGCAACTGCAAGAAGGTGGCAGCTCTGGTGCATTAGGAGCTGACCACAGAAGGCACGAGTCTTTCTTCAGACTGTGTAGAATTCTGTGAATTGACTGGGGATTAATTCATAGCAGGTAGGTTTCTAAGCTCAACTTCAAACCCTACACTGTGGTCCCTGTTCTAGGCATAAATGTTTAAGAAGCTTTCCACGTGAGAAAGTGTCTCAATGTTAACATCTTTGGGCTAGGAATTCTTATCTACTGTCACAGTCATTCTCTTGGATTCTGACAGTGACCCACGATTCCCAGGAAGCTCTGTACTTTCTGACTGTATCCCTGTCACTAGGTGCCCCAATCAGCCCTTAGACCACCAGTTAGTTGGTCTTGCCACTCAGGCACCATTCCTTGCCATGGATTTGCACAAGACGCTTTGCTTTCAAAATCCGTGCATCCATTTAATAAATATTTCCTGAATACCTACTATGTTCTAGATATTCTTCTAAGCATTATGACAATAAACAAGTTCCTTCCCTCAAAGATTTACATTCCAGGGAGGAGGAAAGAAATCTATACATAAATAATGATCTAACATGGTATCCAGTAGTAATGAGCAGCACCATGAAGAAGAAATAAAGGTTAGAGAACAGAGAGTAACCTGGAGAGGAGGTGTCATTTCAGATAAAGGACTCAAGAAAGGAGGTAAGACTTGAAAGAGACCTGAAGAAATGAGAGAGAAAGCCACATAAATATCTAGGCGGAGGACATACCCAGCAAAGGGGCAGAGATGGAAATGAGCTTGACAAGATGGAGGAACAGAAAGTAGGCCAGGATGGCTGGGAGAGAAGGAGAGAGGAAGATAATGGGGGAGATGAGGCCAGAGAAACCAGATCACAGGGACTAGACCACAGATCACGTGGATATTTGAGGCCATGGTGGGGCCTTCTGATTGTACTCCAGTGTGCTGGAAAGCTGTTGGACAATGGTAAGCAGAAGAATGATATGACCTGGTTCATATTTTTAAAATGTGTGTGGGGGGGGGGGGGAACAGACTGAAGAGCACAAGAGTGAAAGCAGGGACCCAGACAGCTCTGAACCTATGCCAGCAGACCAGAGGAGAGACAGACTGCAGTAGCAGTGGTGGGGGTGAGAAGCGGTCATATGAGCACATGCTCATATTCTGTCGGCTCTCACCGATAGATTGGCTGGAGTATGTGAGGGAAGGAGAGGACTCAAGGATGACTCCTGGGGCTTCCTGTAGTCCTGACCTCGTGTAGAGGTATGGAATGGGAAAACAAGCACATGAAGATTCGTTCCTCACCAGTCACTCCTTTTGGAGGCCATCCTTCCTGGTCTCTAGACCCCAGCCTAAATCCCCAAGCCATCAACTGGCATCTACCCAAATCATAGACCTAATCATAGGAAAAAATGGAAAGTTTCATGCATATACTTTTTGTAAACTGATCCAGTGACAATAAACTCCCAGGAAGGTGGTACTAGGGATTCCTGAAGCCTAAGGCTCCGCAAAACCCAGCAATCACAGTTTGATTATGGAATAAAGCAGAAAAAGAACCTTGGTAGCTCTGGCAAATGTGTGGCACATGTACCTCCTCCCCTTACCTCCATGTCCAAGCCCATGCTCCAAGCCCACTGTAATCCACAATGTCATTGTTATTCGTTGTAACTAGATGCCAACTCACACTCCTTAACTACAACACTTCAGGCAGTCACTACCAGTTAATCACAGTTGGCCTGACAGATGATTGCCATTTTGGCTCCTGATTTATTGTAACAGTCTACTTCTCCAAGCTCTGATACATCCTTAGGTATCCTTTGACAATCTCCTGCCTGGGACAGCTTTCAGCCACATTATGAATGGTGCAGAAAAGGAAATCTATTATTAAGCTTTGACCCAAACACTTTACATGGACCATATTTTCATGTTTCAGCAGAGTTCATCTTCAATGACAGTGTTAATCATACCCAGGCACACTCAGGCACCTCAGTGGCTCCTGTGCTCACTAAGTCACTACTGTGTTCACTGTGTTCTCCCTAACAGATCTGTGTTCCTGAGTGATTCTGTAAGCCTCACACCTTTGTTTACCTCCTTCCCAACCAGGACCTCTATCTCCCCATTCTCTCTGCACAGATATCAGGAGACAATAGTTATATTTTGTTCTGCAATGACATCAACCAATTGATGTGCAATGTCCTTTTCTCACAAAACAATGCCTTATCCCAGTAAAACAGATCACTCTGTGATACCCTTAAGGTAACATACTTGTAATGGGAATTTCTGGAATTGTGACAGAACTTCTGGAAAGAAAGGTATTTCCGGGCAGGGAGTTTTTAGCACTTTTACATGCTTTACACCAGACACACAAGGGTCCTGGTAGGTCTCCATCTGTCTCTGCATGCCATAGAAAGCCCTTTACTGCTTGTGACCAAAATAAAGGAAAGAAGTCCAACCAAGAACCATTTTTAACAGTGTTTGGAAGAGGAGAAAATTAACATGCTATCTTGACTCTTCCAAGGCTCCTCAACTAATACTGTACACATAATACCTCAACTTCTAGGTATTACTTGGAATTGATTTAATCCACACCAAACTACATGAAAAAACGGCCCCAAAGGGAAATTTCTTAGCCGTGTATAGTACTCTGACCACATCCTGCCCAGAAAGGAGGGGCTGAGCTGTGGGTCACTGTCCAAGGCATCTAAATGCACAGTCCTTTTTTTTTTTTTTTTTTTTTTTCAGTTGTTTATTTTTTTTGGGGCTATGCACTTGGACTTTTGAGAAAATTCTTAAATTTTTTTTTTTAACAAACCCCACCCACACAAATAGAGTGACTCAGCCTAGAGGGGTCTGAGTTGATGTCTGGTAAGGCAGAGAGATTAAAGAACTGCTTTAAAAAGCAATGTCCTAAATTATCCCTGTAGCAATGGTCTCTAGGAAGAAAGGCCTAGAGAGAGGGCATCCAGATACTCTTTCATAGATGTATCGAAGTCCCAGCAGAAAATAATGGTACACTCAAATTGTGAAATATGAGGAGAGTTTATGATAAAGAGGCTCTTTTCAGAGAAGTGGCCAGGGTATGGGGAAACCAGAAATAGTGTAGCATCTGGGGCAGCGACAGCAGTACTCCCCTTACTATCCTTAGTCCTCAGAAGGAGCTCTTTCCAAGGAAAGAGAGAATTGTGAGGAGAGGGTCCCTAACAAGTGACAGGAGCTATGACTCACAGTATTAGGATCCAGACAGTCCACATTGTCCCCACAGGAAGGGAGTCAGGAGAATAAATACCCCAGTTTCACTCTTATCTGACTGCCAGATCTGCTGGTGCATCCAACTGGCCAATTTTAACTGGAAGTCCAGTGATCAGTCCACAGGCCAGCCTTCCAGGGCACACAGCTGGGTAGAGAAGGGTTAGCACTGGATATGGGGTGGGGGGTGGGAGGTGGTAATCAAAAGACATGCAACAATTATGGTACATTTGTGTATAGGCAAATAAATCAAGTTCAAGAAAAATATGACAATGTTTTGAGCCTTCTCTGGCTCTAAAATTCTATAACTCTAAATATATTTACTTTATGTTATATAATTTGCTATTTCTCTTTCCAGATTACACAAATATTCCTTAAAGGAATGTTTTTAAACCCAGGGTGGGAAATGGGCTGTATCTCACATGTCAATTCCAAACAGTGGGTTGTACCTTCTTACATGGCCTTGTTGAGAATTGGAGGCCCAACTGGGCTTGGCAGTGCTATAAGCATGCCACCGTGTTAAGTATGTACACCATGGACTGAGGAGGGGCAAAGGCAGAGAAGTCCTCATGTTCATATTCAGCGAACCAAAACAGAGGAGGAATTTGGAATAATTATCCAGATAATCTGATTTAAAATACATTTATCCAAAATATTCCCTTTAAAGTGTGTGCATGTTTATGTGCTTGCATATAACTTAAATCTATCTGCTTTCAGTAGTACAAAAAATGTTTATGTGAGTATAGCATACACTATTATCATGTCAGTTTCTGAGCGCATGAACAGTTGATACCTCTGATTATATCCTACTGATAGCTTTTATGGTCACATGTCCAAATGGCACAGGTAATCTTAAAAAATGACATGTTATTTTTAAGTTTACTCTCTAGGTCTACCATTTACCATAGTCCAACATGGTAGCCATGAGCCATATGTGGCCATATCAATTTAATTAGTATTAAAATTGAAAACTTAGCCCTTAAGGCACACTAACACATTTCACATATTCAACAGGTGCATATTAGACAGTGCAAATATAGAACAATTTCATTACTGGCAGAAAGTTCTATTGGAAGGTTCTGTTCTAGAATCCAAGGCTCATTGTTGGACACATTGAAAATGATGTCTGTAAGCATTACTTAGGTATTTTTTATTAAGCATTTTATTTTAATGCCAGTGTCATATTAGTTTCAGGTGTGATTCAACAATTCCATGAGTATCACCTGGTGCTCATCACAGTAAGTATACTCCTTAATCCCCATCAGCTATTTCACCCACCCCCCACCCATCTCTCCTCTGGTAACTATCAGTTTGCTCTCTATAATTAACAGTCTGATTCTTGGTTTGTCTCTCTCTCCCTGTCTTTTTCACCCTTCCCCAATTGTTTCTAAAACTCCATAAATGAGTGAAATCATATGGTATTTTGTCTTTCTCTGATTTAGTTCATTTAGCATTATAGTCTCGATCTCTGTCCATCCTGTTCCAAATGGCGAGAATTCATTCTTTTTTTGTGGTTTAATAATATTCCACTTTGTATATATACCACATCTTCTTTATCTCCTCCTCTATCAGTGGACACTTGGACTGCTTCCCTAATTTGGATATTGTAAATAATGCTGTAATAAGCACAGAGATGCATAATCCCTTTAAATTAGTGTTTTTGCATTTTTGGTGGAAATACCCACTTAGGAATGTTAATATTCCTGTTATGTACCAGGCAACAAACTGTTTTATAAATATTATCTCATTTAGTGTGTGCGTATGTGTGTGTGTGCATGCACGCACATGTGTGTGCATGCGTGTGTGTGCGCGCATGTGTGTATAGTGAGATCTGTCAGGAGCACTGTGTGTTATTTGGAAACCAACTTGACAATAAACTATCAAAGAAAAAATTAAAAAATAAAAAATAAAAATAAATAAAAGATCTACTGTCAGGATATTTCAAGTGTAAAATATGGTATTATTTACTTATAGTCAACATTATGTACATTAGATCCTCAGAACTTACTCATAACTGAAAGTTTGCACCCTTTGATTTACACTTCCTATTTGTCCCTTCCCCAGACACCAGTAACCACCATTTTATTCTCTGTTTATATGAGATTGGCTTTCTTTTTTTAAAGATTCCACATATAAGTGATACCATACAATATATATCTTGTTCTGTTTTGTTTCACTTAACATAATGCCCTCGAAATTCATCTACACTGTTGTAAATGGCAGGATTTCTTTCTTTTTCATGGCTGTATAATATTCCATTGCATAACCACCACATTCATCCGTTGCCAGACATGCAGGTTATTTCCATATTCTGGCTATTGTGAATAATGTTGCAATGAACGTGGGAGTACAGATATTTCTCTTTCAGATCCTGCTTTCATATCCTTCAGATAGATATCCAGGAGTGGGATTGCTGGATTATAGTGGTAGTTGTATTTTTTTTTAATTTTTGGGGGAACCTCCATACTGTTTTCTAGAGGGGCTACACTGATTTACATTCCTACCAATACTACACAAGGGTTTCCTTTTCTCCACATCCTTGGCAAAATTTGTTAGCTCTTGTCTTTTTAATGATAATCATCTTAACAAGTATGAGGTGATATCTCTTCATGGTTTTGATTTGCATTTCCCTGATGACTAGGGATTTACCTATTGGCCATTTGTACGTCTTCTTTGGAAAAATGTCTAGTCAGGTCCTCTATCCAATATCTCACCTACTTTTCACAACCACTATGTGAGGGAGGAATTATCATTCCCATATGATAGATAAGGCCATGAGAAGCAACTCATCCCTTAACCACACAGTAGTAACTAAAAGAGCTCAGATTCAAAACTAAATCTTTCTGACATAAAAAATCATGTTCTTTACCATTATATCTACACCTGCAGAAAAAAACAAAACAGCAACTCTCTTAAACAATTCACTTATTTTGTGTTTAACACCTGAGACTCCCTAGAGATATTAACTAAGTTGAAATTCAATTTATTTTCCAAACCAACATATTTTCCTACATAATAGATTGTCACTTGTTCAAAATGTACAACAGAGTGAAGTATGATCTTGAATTAGCCTTTCCCCCATCTTTAGTATTGTAAATATGAATTAATAAGCAAATAAATTATTGTTGTGATACTTGTTTTGTCTGCATCAGTCAGGGTCCCATCAAGAAACAAATGGCACACTTGAGGAGAGTTTAATAAAGTGATGACTATTTTTCAAGAGGTGGGCAGTATTTAGGAAAACAACCAGGAAACATGAATACTGTATAGCAAGTAAGAGTGGGGAGCCATTACTACCCAAAGCCTGTGGCAGGGGAAGACAAAGGGAGGGAAACACTTAATAGAGCCTCACGGAGAAGGTGCTTGATGAAGCTGTGTGGCCTTTTGTAGAGAGACACAGTGAACTTAGAGTAACTCAGCAGGGAGAGAGCCACCTCACTGACCAACTGCCCTCCAAAGTGAGGGCAAGGTTATCCATTGAGGCTGTCCATATAGTATAGGCTCTTAGGTACCTAGTAAGCTGGAAAAAGTAGAGAAGAGGGACACATACAAGATACCATGCACATTATATTATCTACTAGCGTTGTCTGGAAAAAGACTAAGGACAGCAAAGTATGAGGTAATCTTAACAAGAATAAGGCTGACTAATGACAGACTCCTTTTTTCCATCACAGAGAGTCACTTATGGCCAGTTAGATCCTCAAGGTAGATGAAATGTTCAGCCTGAGGCCCAAGTAGGCCATAGGTCTCTTCCCATCACTAATTGAAGAACAGTAAGTGAATATTAGACTTCACTATGGGATTTCTTTTGTGCCATGGTATAGGACAGGCCAACTATATCATGAAACTAAGCTGAAGAAAACAGGCAGTTTCCAAGAACATTTGCTTGACTGAAAAGGCTGCGAGGTTAACTGGCAGTTAGAGTCACAGTACTGAGCACAAGGATCTAGTATGGTCTTAATTCTAGGGCCACTTCTATCAAGCTGCCGAATTTAGCCTTTGGGACGAATCTCTGGATCACTGTTTATCAAGTACCTACTGTGTCCCAGATACTGGTGCACTGATCACTCAGTTTATCTCTCTGTTCCTGGGAACACCATTGCCTTTTTATTTTTTTTAAATGGTTATTTATTTTGAGAGAGAGAGAAAGAGAGAGAGCTAGCGCACGCAAGCACATGAGGTAGAGAGGGGCAGAGAGAGAGAGAGTGAGAGAGAGAGAGAGAGAGAGAGAGACAGAGAGAATCCCAAGCAGGCTTTGCACTGTCAGCTCAGAGCCCAACTCGGAGTTGATGCCATGAACCATGAGATCATGACCTGAACCAAAATCAAGAGTCCGAGGCCCAAAGAATTGAGTCACCCAGGTGTCCCTCCGTTTTCTTTAGATACAACTGACTTGATACATGCTGCTCCCCTCCCTCTCCTGGTCTGTCAATTCCTACCCTTACTTCAAATCTCACCTGGGGGATCATATCCTCTGGGAAGCCTTTCCAGTTTGTATCCTGAAGGCTGAGGGACTCCCTCCATGAGACCCTCCCAGCTCTGGGATCACCTTGGCACTAGTGGGAATCAGAAAACAGTGAAACGAACCTGTTTACATGTCTGCTTCCTCAGCCTTGATGGGAGCTAGTGCCTAGCAAGAAAGAGGGTGATTTTCATTAAATTTAGTACCTAAGTATCTTTGAAAGGCACCGTTAGGTTCCGTGGGGCTGTGTGTGGGAGTGATGGTGACGTGGGAGGAAAGAGGTACATAAATAAAGACTAAAGTACCTGATCTCTGCCCTCAAAAGAGGAGTAATCAGATAAATTACAGGATGTCCAGTTAAATCAGAATTTTAGATAAGAAATAAACAATTCTTCATGTAACTTTTTAAGTATCTCTCATACAAATAGATTCAAATATTGCATGGGACATATATGAACGAAAAAAGCATTTATTTGAAATTCAAATTTAACTGGGCATCTTGTATGTTAACTTGTTAAATCTGGAAATCCTATTCAAAGGACTCATACTCCAGCTGCTGAAATAAGATGTGACCGCACGGGCCCTTCGCACTGCCGGGCTTAGCAGAGAACACAAGAGTGCTGCAGTCTAGGGGCACCTGGGTGGCTCAGTAGGTTAAGTGTCTTGATTTTGGCTCAGGTCATCATCTCATGGTTGGTGAGTTTGAGCCCCAAGGTTGAGCTCTATGCTAATAGTGTGGAGCTGGCCCGGGATTCTCTCTCTCCGCCTTTCTCTACTCCTCTTTCTCTCACAAAATAAATAAACTTTAAAAAAAAAAAAAAAAAAAAGGAGGCCATTTTAATAAAAATAAAAAGAGTGGTGCAGACTGGGAGGGCTAGTAGAGGCCCTGGTGGCTGCCTCCCCTGCTTCATTCAGTATGGAGGCTTCCTACCAGTAGCCCTGGCTTCTCCCCAGCTGCCCAGCGTGCAGAAGCACAGTGTGCTTCAAGCACCCTGCACTGAATGAAAAGGTCTGGGCTTAAGTCACACACAGACCACTGACTGGGTGCCCAGCTTTCAGAAAATCACTGAACTTTTCTAAGTGTCCTTTTCCTTTCCCATAACTGAAAACCTCAGAATTGATTTTTAAAGGGGGAGAGGAGTCCTTTGATACACTTAGAGATTCATACAGGCCTTACTCTGAGAAAAATTAGAATGTTCCTGTAGCTTCTCCACTGTCCCACCCGTTTCTGCCTACCATTGCTGACAGACGCGGGCTCCAGGCATGAGACAAAAAACTAATACTTATTTCATGGCTCATCCCTCAGAATCTTCTATACCAGGGGTCAGCAAGCTTCTTCTATAAAAGGCACCATGGTGAATATTTTAGGCTTTGCAGGCCATCTAATTTACAAATTATAAACTATTTTAGGCTTTTCAAGTTTCTGTTGCAACCACTCAACTCTTCCATTGTAGCACGAAAGCAGCCAAAGACAACATGTAAACAAACAAGTGTGGCTGTGTTCCAGTACAATTGTATTTATGGACACAAAACTATGATTTCATGTAATTTTTGTGTGTCGTGAAATATTCTTTTGATTTTTAAAAATCTAATAAAATATAAATAAAATTCTTACCTTGTGGGCCTAAAAAAAATTGACAGCAGGCCAGATTTGGCCCTTGGCTGTGGTTTGTCCACCCCAGTTCTATAAGACCAAATTGTTAACATCCGATAAAGTCTTCACCCTATAAGGGTGGTCCATCTGCTACTATTTGCGCCCTGAGAGCAAAGCTGGAAAAGGGCTGGTGCTGAGTTCTTACACAGCCCTGGTCTCTGCCATGAACTTGTAGTGTGAATCCAGGGAAATTATATCACTACTTCCTGTCTCATCCTTCACCTGTTTTAAAAAAGGACCCAGGGCGAAGGGGCATTATATTTAGCAAGCTGCTAAACAAAGTGATTGGGAAATACAAATGAGGTCAATAAGGACAGACACTTAGCAAGGACGGTCCAAACAATGAGTAATATTGAAAATTATATGGCAAGAGAAATAGAGAAATTAAATTGTTTTCCTTGTAAATTTTCCACCATGATTTTTTACTTCATGGAAAGTAATGTGTGAGGTCATTTTTCCTTCACACACAATTCACTTTCATGAAGTTTATTTAAGAAAAAAAAAGGGAGGGGGAATTTCTCTGAGAGACAGAGAAGTCCAATGCCTGACTGAGCCCAGAGGGAAGCATTTTCTCAGGAAGGCCATTTCTGTCCCTCCCCTCCCTCTCCCCCTTTCTCCATTTCTTCCCATCCACATCTGGTATATCCTATTTTTCCCAGTTACAGATAATCCCCATCTCTATTCATTTTTCTGGCAGGACTGTAGTGCTAATAAATACCAGGTATACTGCAAAGTCAGGAACCCAACACAAACTACCATGCTTAGAGGCATCAGAAAGGTAGGAAAAAAATGAACAAAAATCCTTAAAACTTCCAAGAGTACAAAGGGTCAGATAAACAGTGATATAAAACCCCAAGTATAGAGAAGAAGGTGCTTGTTTCAATAACCTGGGAAATTTTTGCTAGTGAGACATGGCAATCAGCTTTAAATGACAAATCCTACAGAGTTTAGAAAAAGGGCCTTGCAGGTGACATGAGGGAAAAAGATCAGGTTTTGATAAAAGTAGAAAGCATCCACCAGAATGGAATGATAATTAGAGATAATTATAGTCAAGTACAAGGGTGCCAGAATATTGGTGTCTACCCAGCAAGTTACAGTAGAGTCGAACCTCATTTTTAATCACTTTGAACTTGCCATTTTTATTTCTTGGCTGATGAATTGTTCACAGACAATCTTGATGTATTTACAGAGTATTAAGTTCAACCAAGGTCAAAGACAGAGATACATTCTCCTTAGAGCCTCATTCCCTTTCAGATGTTTAAGTAAATGGCTTAAGAAAAGCTACCTGGAGCATAAAAGGGAACACAAGAATTCAGGGTCTGGTCTTGCCCCTTTTGAGCCAAGTGAGTGAGCACCTAAACTTCTTGAGCCTCTGTTCCTTCACCCATAGAATGGGGCTAATGCTTGTTCTCCTCACCACACAGCTCTGCTATGAAGCTCGGACAACACGAAGCATAGAAAGGGCTTTGCAGATAATAAAAATAGAAGTGCTATTTACGATTATTATTGTGACTGAAGAAGGAGCCCTTGTTGAAATCAACTGCTAAGTTACTGAAGCGCAACATTAGTTAGTTGAACAGATGACTTGTAAGGGTTAATAAGCACATGTCTTGGTCACCACTTAGGCCTGGTGAGTCAGAGCCCTGGAGCACGAGGCCCAGGTCATGGGCTCCATGAGACCTTCTCATCTGATTTGGACAGCAGAAGCTTGTAAGTTAAAGAAATCTGGGATTGAATCCCATCTCTACCCCTTACTCACTAGGCAAGTCCCTTATTCCATCCAAGCCTCAGTTTCCTTATCCCTAAAACTGGGACATTAAAACTGTCTTGCAGGGTTGTTGCAGGTTCACAGAGAACATACATAATCTCTGGTACCTAGTAGGACATAGTCTCTGTTCACTTAGGAGCAAGTACTGGAAAGTGAAGAGCCAATAGCTTTAACCCTTACCATCTATTTTGTAAATGCATGTGGAGATTGCTTATGTAGACAATCTTCTCAGGTCTATCCTTGTTTCTTGAAAAAACATTTCAAAAAATACGGCTCCCTAAAGATGGGATTTGCATCTCAAAATGACAGCACATTATAAACCGACTTCTTTCAGTTACATTTCTTATTATAATATGGTCCCTGAGATATGCCACAAAATTTTTTGGTAATCTGACCTAAATTGGACATAATGCTGCCTTGGGCTCAAAGCTGCAGATCATCACTATCCCTCAGACCCGGCCCTTTGCCTACTATAATGAATCTTCTCCACATGTCTATCTCACTTGCCCCTACATTCAACACAACGCCCCAGTCAACTGGACATCTCAACTGTTTCCCAAAGTCACCCTCTGCCTGGAAAGCCCAACACTGTCCTAAGTCAGGCATCCTGGAAACAGACAGTGAGATGCTGAGATTTGCATGCAGTAGGCTTACTGAGGAGCTCTCAGGAAGCTCCTAGAGGGAGTGAGGTGTGCGGGACTGGGCAAAGGGGGAACTTGAACCATGATGCATACACAACTCAGGCATCAGTGGATCCCACCTGAAGCTCTGGAGCTGGGGTGGTCCTTCAGGATGTCAGAAATTATGTCAAGGTGCTATGCTCTCCACCCCACTTTGACCAGGCACTGGAGGTGGGCTTTCCCCCAGGGAGGAGATATGACCTTTGGCAAAAGGCAGTTCTCAGAGAGCGATTCAGCTGAGATCTATCAGCAGCTAACTCTACTTGCACCTGCACAATATGTGTCTGTCTCCTGAAAGGGCTTCTGGGCAGCACCCCACCACATCCTCTACTGCAATTTCCAAATCACTCTCCAGCCCTCGAGGCCTATATTCACCACTGCCTCACCATGCAGCCCACTCTGATCCTGTACTGTCTCCCTCTTTGAACTTGAGATGTAGCCACCAAACCAGGCGCCTCTTGCATTGCCATCGAATTCAGAGTGGACAAAGCTCACAACATATACTTAGTACTACTTCTCAAAATTCCAGTGAATGTAGAGAATGAGAAAGTTGTACCCCTTAAGCACGGTGCAGTGATGCATGTTCTTCTTATAGTTACAATTTCCAAGACCTCAGCATATTTAAGCATACTTAATGCTTCTTAGTCTGGTTCCTCATTTTGTTTATAGGAAATAAAATTTCATTGGTAATGATACAATGCTATTCTTACACAACCACCATTGGGGTTTTCATTTCCTTTATTTGCTGAATAATTTTTCTTTATAAAGTATTCTTTTGAAAATATAACAAGAAGTACTGTACACTGAAAGGAAAAAGACTGGACACGCAGGGTAAAGTTAAAAGAAATCTTCCAAATTATACAAAATTACACAAAAGTGTCAGCCATAAAGAAAATATGGTTGTAAAGAGAAATGAAGATGCTGTAAGTGTACCTATCCAGCTCCCTTAAGAAGTGAAGAAATGGGCTCCTGGCTGGCTCAGCTGGTAGAGCATGAGACTCTTGATCTCAGAGTTGTGAGTCTGAGCCCCATGTTGGGCATAGAGATTATTTTAAAAAGAAATGAAGATTAGTGTCATATTAATGTCATGATTTCACATATCGCAGTATTTTATTGGATCAAAAACATGAAAATGGTTGCTTTGCAATAAATGGGTTAATGAATAAAAAAATCAATTAAAATGAATTAATGAAGCCAAATTATTCTATCAAATGAAAGAGATATATGTGTGAAAGATATACACATAATTATGTTTATGCCTGTTTATAAAAAAGTAAAAAATAAGTTATGTGCTTATATATGATTTTACATGAATGAACATATAAATGTATATATATATAAATATATAAATGCACACCACATGTGTGCATTAGGGGAATACACACACATATACAAGCTTCCCTAACAAATTATTATATAGCTGTTGTTTTCTAGAAAACTATACCCCTGCACTCTGACAAATCATTGCAAACTCAAGGGTATGTCAGAGTATCTAGCTCTGAGTCAACAGTATGGCCCTCTACATATGATCCCTGCATGCTTCCAGATCTACAGCACAACATCCTACATGGCACCAACCTTAGGTCCAGGCAAGTGGTTCAACCCCATCAGAGCACCTGTACAAATGTTTCTAAGTCGTCCTCAGATGCCTGGGATCTCGCAGGGCTAGCAGTGCCATTCAGGGTTGGCAGCCTCATCCCAGACCAGTGCCTGCAGGGGCCCTAGCCCCACTTCTCCTTCTCAGGGCACTTTCCAACCCTCTGTCCCAGGGTGGCTTCAATCAGATGCTCCAGGGAACCCCTGACCTCACACCTTTTTGTTTTCTGGGGCCTGTGGTCCAGATCTGTTCTAGGAGGTTAGCCTGGGTAACAGGTCCCTACTCCCCAAATAGCCGGCATGCTGTTTCCTCACATACGACTAGGCTACCAGTGTGGGTGCTGGCATACTGACTTTGGGTGACTCACTCACATCGGACATAGGATTGTTCAGGGCAACGAGTTAAGTAACCACGTTTGGACTTGAGCCTGGCATTTGTGGGCTTGTCAGTGTTCCTGCTGCAGTGCTGCCTCCAATCTACAAAAGCCCAGGGTAGTGGGGTAGCAGCGGGGATCCCTCAACATCAGGAGACCCCACCCTTATTGTTGGTCGAAGGGTGGCCACCATCCCCCAACACACTCCTCGCCACATGTCAGTCCACAGGAAACCTCCTCCAAGGTTTTTGGAGACTGTTACTCTATCAAATACCCTTGCAACACATGTTCCCTTGTCTCTGATCAATGTGGTAACACTGCATTTTCTCACAGTGGCTTTTTTATGGGTATGGAACCACTCTTCTGCTGGGCCCGCAGGACCCTCTCCCACCGTCAACACTGAAGGAGATCACTGGTCTACAGTACCTGACAGAAGACATGCTTGAAAATGTGTTATTCTACATTTACGTTATATAATTGCAAACAATTTAACATGGCCAAAAAATAAATGGCCGTTCCCACTTTTCTATATTCTTCGGGTAAAGCTTACACTTGCAATCATTGGCAAAGAAGCACGATAATGATGCTTATGAGTCACTGGAGGCCCATATTCATGGGCAGTGCAAGGAGGATGAGGTGTCATAAGTACCAATCTGACCAGCACTGAACAGAGGACCGTGGGAGAGCTGAAAGAGTAAGATCAGTCCACACTGCTTTAATACCAACAGGCTCCAAAAAGCATGGTAATTAATAATGTATTTCTTACTTTTTTCCCACAGTGGGAGATATGAAGTTATCTAGGATTGGGACATCTGACAAAAAGGAGAAGAGAGAGAGAGGGTCCCTGGGCATAAACAGGAAGAGCTAGTGCCCAGACAGCATGAGGACCTTCACAGGTGCTAACTGGATACATAACAAACACAGAAGTATCACTTGTTCATCCATTATTCTAAATCTTCATTGATAAATGATTATACCTCACCTGGGTCCATTGACTTTATATTTTTTAATCAAAGTGTTTCTATAAGCAGGGCCCTGCAAAAAATATATTTCTAGAGCCCCATACAACATAGAGGTGGCCCTGATCCTACGAGTTTTTTTTAAATCACCCTGAAACCTAGAGATACTGAATTAACAATACCTTTCTCAAGCCTTTCTTTAGTATAGTAAATCCTCTTCAGGCTTTCCAGATTATGACCAGTATCAGTATGAGAGTCACTTGATGACACTTGATAGCAATCTAATGGAATGCCTTCTAATGGAATTCTGAAAAATATATGGACTCTTAAAATCAAAAGAACTGTTGAGACCAATAAGACCATTTCCCATGACCTTGTCAATAATATTCCCTCATGTTCTCCATTCTTACCATTCTTATTTATTTTCATTATCCACTATTTTAAGTGAAAATTATATGATGGTTTTAAATTTCAAATATAGGTAATACATATTTGAAGACAACCTAGTATTGCACTGGCCCAGGATGCTCACTACATCAGATTCAGCTGCTTCACCTTCATTCCTTCCTCTTTCTTTAAGTCCTTTAAAACCCAAATAGATTAATAAAAACGCTTCCTGATTTTCATAACCTCCTGAGAAAAGACCCCATCATTCTGTCTGGTCACCATTCCAATGCCTAACAGTGTCCACACTACTCCCATATGAGGAATTCATCCTTGATCTGATGAACATATCTCTCAACTGGGGCCCTAGCCAGAGACATCCAAAGACCCCATCCTAGTCTATCCAGGCAAATAAATATTATTTAAAATATTTATTTATTTATTTATTTAAAAAATTTATTTATAAAATATTTATTTAAAAAAATAAAATATTTTTAAGGGGCAAGTTACTTTTCTACAAATACCATGCCTTAAATCCCTTTGAATTTACCTGCTACTTTTCAAACTCAAAACATTTCTTTCTTTTAAAATTTCATTCTTAGACATGCTGATAAATCCCTTTCCTCCCAGAATATTTAAGCCCCTTTGATTAACTCTGTGGTAAGTGATGAACATCAGCCCGTTTCCTTTCTAGTGTTTTTGTTTTGGTTTGATTTTTTTACTCTTATTCCAGTTGCTTTTTTCCTATTTGATATTGAGCTCTCCTGGTTTTAACCCATGTGAAAGAAACATATTCTTTAGCCTCATATCTATCATGGGGTTTGCTTCACAAATTCTTCTCAATGCCTACAAGGTAGAAAAATAAGAGTTCCACTATGCCAGCTTGGAAGTCGACCTCCACTGTGGTAACACACCACCACTGAGCCCTCTTTCCTACTCCCTAAAATTGCAGAAGAGCATGTTTCTCCTTCGACCTCTCCAACCCAATGCCCAATGGCTTTAGAGGGTTTGACATCTAGAGATAAGAAGCAAAAGCTAGAATACAGTGATTCACATTTGTAGCAGTATTAAAAATTACATGTTAAAAAATGGAGCTCTTTTTTATTCACTGTAAATGAACTTAAATTTGTTCACAAACTGATAGTGAAAAACTTAGGTTTGACAATCATGGTGAACTTAGTCATGGGTTTATTCTGGTCTTCTTGGGACAGGATAGTCTCCATTTTAGGATGTTCCCATCCCTTTCTTTTATTCTATCCCTATGGGGTGATCCACATCAGAAGGGGCTTTTGAAACTTCCTCATATTAGGCCAAGGTCATCAGTTGGTGTGATGTACTCAAAATATTTCACAAGCAATAAGGTACAGGCACTAACCAATCACCAGAACAGGCACTAAGTGACACAACTGATAGGGTCTTGCTGGTGAGTACTGGATGATGTCAGCCTTGTCCATTCACATCCATCCAACACTGATTTCTAGTGGAACTTGTTCTGTGGCCTTTGTGAACTACCACTACGGCATCCATGGTTGAAAAACCTGCATCCCACTGCTCTGTTCTCAGGTTGATGGGTCCTTGAAGGTCACACAGATAACTCCAAAGACTGAGTTACTTGACAGCTAGACACGATAAAGGAAAATCAGACTGCAATGACTCACACTTGTAGCCATTACGAATTTTATGTGTTAAAAAATGGTAAATGTAAATGGTCACACTGATCCCAGGGGAATGGGAAATTTTTTAATCTGGCATCTCCAGGGGTTGTAGGCTTTTCGGGTTGCTACTTAAGATTTTCTTTCTCTAGACCTTCCTGTCATCTTTTATGCTTTGCTACTGCAAAACCATGCTGGAATAGGAGACTTACCTACAAGAATTGCTTTTTTTACTCTTAAGCTTCATCAGGAATCAAGGTACAGGACCCCAAATCTCTCCTCTCCTTCCCTCCCCTCCCCTCTCCTCTCCTCAGGTTCCCCAAAGACTCTATAGGAGGGAAGCAGAGCACTAAAAACTTGCTCTAGCTCCTCACCAGCCCTAACTTCTGTTTTTCCTCCTGGGTACCTGCTGCTCAAACCTGATCTCTTTTGGGCAGAAAAATACTCATGAACCATTCCTTCCCACTCTGTGGTTTGGTATAAACCCTGGGCATTGAAACTTGCAAAATCTTAAGCTGTTTGAGCTCAGGCTTTTATACTAAAAGTCTCAGCTTTTAAGAGTATTATCTCTCTGAGAACTTTAAAAAATAAGTTCAGAAACTCAACTCACTTCTTGGGATCAGGAAGATTTATTCTTTCCTAAAGAAATAAATTCCACTGAAACAATGGGTGGAAGGCTGCAAAGAAGTAAGGAAATTGTGAAGAACACACACACACACACACACACACACACACACGCCTGTCATTATCCCCAAACTGTACGCTCTGCATACGTTTTGGGAGAGGTTCTTTCAATATCCAAGACAGAAACCCAGAAGCCCATAAAATAATTTATGGATAAAAAAACAAGCCTTTATGGTTTGTTGTAATTAAGATGTGCATATCAATAGCTATTCAGTAAGACGTGATGAAGATATTTAATGTAAAATATAGGCGCACCTGGGTAGCTTAGTTGGCTAAGAGTCCGACTTTTTGGCTCAGGTTATGATCTTGCAGTCCGTGGGTTCGAGCCCCACACCAGATTCTGTGTCTCCCTGTCTCTCTCTGCCCCTCCCCCACTCATGCTCTGTCTCTGTCTCAAAAATAAATAAACCAAAAAATTGTTTAAAAAATTAAAAATAAAAAGAAAATAAATGTAAAGTATCTTCATTATGGAAATTCTACTCCACTTAATACATTATGTGTTCAATAACCTCAACTCAAGAAAAATTCAAGATGGTACTTTTTTTTCCTCTGCCTTTTTTCCCCAAATATTTCAAGAGACCCACTCTTCACATACATGTCATCATATTTGAAAAGCTTTCCTTCTGCAGAAGGAATGAGGTGACTTTAAGGACAGTTAAGATTTTTCACACTGAATTTTATGGGCTGATGGCATAAGTCAACACTTAGGGGTGCTGACATTTCACTTCCTTGTTTTTTAATACTGGCTTAAAATTAGGAATACCTTCCATCTTGGGTTTTTTTCCTTCCCCCAAATCCAGGAACTAAAAGTATATATATAGACATATATATAAAATAAATATTCTGTACCGGAGGGAAAATTGAAAACAATGCTCAGTTTTCTAGTTAACACAGACATTAGCATCTGTCTTCCTTATAGTCAGGGAGATACAACATATCATCCTGGCAATAAAAGTAGAAACTCCAAAGAGGAGAAGAAGGAAAGCAGAGGGTACTTACTTATGTAAAGCAGCTCACAGGGTACAATAAACTCTTCCTTTGATCTTGTTTGTCCCTGAAAACAACCTATGCAGTAAGTGAGGCCAATATTACTATCATTCCTATTTTACAGTAAATGAAACTGATGCTCTGGATGATTATGTCTTGGCAAGGCCAAATAGCTAACAAGTGATGAGCTAGGACAAATACAAATCCAGGTATTCTGATTTCAAATCAATACACTTTTCACCAAAGCACAATGGCATCCCCAATTAAATGTACACAGATTTGGGAGGTGTGAAAATTCCCCTGTAAGACCTTTCCCATTTACTGAAGCCTGTGACTGAGAATGCTACTACTCACTGAGAATGCACGCATATTAGAAATTCTCAGGCTCTTTAGGTGATGCAATATGGATTGAGTTATGGCAAATGGATTGCGGGCAAAAAATAAAAACTGTGTGGGTCACTGTCAGGCCTGGTCTTCATGACTGCTCTCACAAGCTGCCATGCTCTTTTTCTTATCCCACTGGCAACCCAGATGCAAAAGAGCCAATGGAGAGAACTAGATGGCAAGAATGAGGGTCCCTGAATGACTGCAGCAAGCAGCAATGGCCAGCGAAATTAATGAGCAATAAATCTTTCATATGAAATCCACTGACATGTTAGAGCTCTTTGTTATAGCATTTAGTGATTTATTCTAATACAAAGAGAAATGAAAATACCATATTTTAATGCCTAGGATACAGTGACACCAAATATTTGAAATAATAAAGAGTGGATGGGGATAATTATCTTTAATTTTTAGTGTTCCCTTATATTTGACAAATCTTAATGACTAACTGGTTCAGGAAAGGTCAAAGACATGTGAGTTTTACATGCGCATGTAAACACACATTTTTCTTTGTATTACATCAAGTCATTCTTAAATAGGGTGGATTCAGACTGTGAAAAAACAAAATTTATATAATGGGAAGGGCAGTCTTTTTGAAGAACACAAATTACAAATAAAATTAGGTAAAAAGTAAGTATATATTGAGAATTAAGTTACAACAAATTAAAAACATTAAAAGCTGAGAAATACCATAGTGTCACAAAATCCAAAAAAGATAACACAATGTTTTTCATTAATTAACTGCCTGACACACCTATATAATATTTATTCTTACATTTTTTTGGCTGCATATTCTTTCACTACCCCTACCTAGGACAAGACTTTGTATTTTTTTAATAGAACAGAAAGATAAATAACTTTCTTCTAATAGAGCTGGTAAAATTTTGTTTTATTATTGATGGCAATAGCATATTATATTTAGGATTATCAC